TATGCACATTAATACAAATTTTTAGCTGGGGTGCCCAAACTTTCGATCCCCACTGTATGTATATATTGCCAAAACGTTTTTGTTTTCTTTTGTTTTTTCATGGAGTAGGGTAGGGGTAAAACCCATGCCAGGTTATTTCTTGTTTCCTGTCTAGAGACGCAGTAGGTAAGAGGACATCTCCCAAAGTGAAGGGATTTTCCCTCTTAGACAGTTGTCCCTGGAGCAGATAAAATTTTGGATATACTGAGGACAGTAGTCACCAGCACAAATAGAGAGGGTGGAACTGCTCAATGGGGACACAGGCAGCAATAAAAACTTGTATCTAATCCTTCCCCACTCTAATCAAAACTAAAAAAAAAAGTTTTGCCAAGACTGACACTTAAATTAACTAATCTTTAATGACCTTTGAGAGAGACGGCCCCATACAAGTCTTTCGGAACTGGTTTTGCAGGCACAGATAATGAAGGTTCAACAATCTCTATTTTTAGAAGTCTACAAACCAATTTGTTTTAGTATTTTTCTTTTTTTCTTGTATTTTGTTATCCAGAAAATGATTATATGATATTCCTGTATGCTTACAAAGTGTGTCCGGTAAAGATATGAAATAAGCTGGACTTGCTCATGGCAAGAGGTGATACATTCCCCCTGCTTGTGTTAAGTAAAACAAATATATCCCATTACTTCATCTCTTTAAATAGATACCCCATTCACAGGCTGACAGTTAACTCAGTTAACTATTTAAACACACCTGGAGCGTGGTGCATGTTCATGGAGTGTACACACTAATGTGAAACTGCTGAATTTTGTTATTTTTGGAAGTAGCTATATAATAAAACAAACATACTGTATATGAACAACTGCCATTCATTCTCTACTTTTTGCTGTGGTTATCCTTGTATTGAAGAATTACACCTCATTTCCTGTAGTCACCAAGACAAGAAGTGTGGGGACAATGGGGACACAGCTAACAATAAAATACTTTTTCTTTAGTAAAGTGGGGTTGAGAGCTGGAATTTTATACAGCCCGTGTCCTCACTTGGGAGATTCCTTTCACTTCCTGTCTTTTTGACCACTGTCAGTGAGTGAGGTACACAGACAGCATTAAAAGTCTGCCTTTGCTACTCCCCTTCTAAATCTGCTAGTAGCCTGAATGGCCCTGGCATTTGTACAGTCTGGGTCACTGACCTGGGGCAAATATGCAGTAAGTCAGGACTTCTGATCAGTGGCCTCAAAGCATTGAAATCTTGGAATAAGCATTACAGCCAGCCAGTGATTTTTTTTTCCCAAAAGGTGTCTGAAAAGCATTCTAGAAATTTCTCTCGGCACAGGTCTCCTGTATGGTTTTAGGTCTGGGTTTTTCTTAAATTTTATTTATTTATTTCAGGTACTTATATAGCGCCGTCAATTTACGCAGCGCTTTACATATATATTGTTCATTCACATCAGTCCCTAACCCTCAAGGAGCATACAATCTAAGGTCCCTAACTCACATTCATACATATCCATACTAGGGACAATTTAGACAGGAGCCAATGAACCTACCAGCATGTCTTTGGTGTGTGGGAGGAAAACGGAGTACCCGGAGGAAACCCACGCAGGCACAGGGAGAACATGCAAACTCCAGGCAGGTGGTCCTGTAGTTGGGATTTGAACCGATGACCCTAGTACTGCCAGGTGGAAGTGCTAACCATTTAGCCACTGTGCTGCCCAATTATAAATACATTTTTTAAACAGTCTATCCCATTGTCTGGATCGAAACCTCAGAATCAGACATTTGATAAGGGTTTTAGTTCAACACACCTAAAACATAATCATGCCAATTATGTGAAAAAAACTATAGCTCTACCTACTGCCTGAATAAAAATTATTATTTCCCAGGTTTTCCTTTCATTCTCTTTTGCCTCCCCCCATCTTTTTCAATTTTTAGAGACGTTGACAGGCCTGTGAATGAGTCTTGTTCAGTGGCTGTACTGCCTGCCAAACATTACAGGAGGGATCATTTTTGCCGCATGTGAACATCCTCATCCGCTCCTTTTGCACCTTAACAGGGATGGTAAAAACACAGCTCAATCACGTATATTTATGACCCAATACCCATCTGCAAGTCTAAGTGAGCCCTTGCAGTGAGAGAATGTCTGTGGAAGCAAAGGAAGGTCAAAGGCAGTGGTGATACTGGACTAACAAGCCCATGATGGAGCAGAGACTACAAACAAATTGTCTGTAATATAATTTTAATACATTTTGGGATCACGCAATGATAAATGGACAGGTTAACGTCCATAAACCCAAGCTTGCTTTTTTGGCCTTATTTAAACATTGCATCATAATTTCACAAGTCTTACAGTCTCCCCCACAAGATACCTTCTAGTAAATTCTGTGTATAAATCTGAAACTATGTATAAAATTATTGTAACAATCTATATATTATTATTATTATTATTAATAATAAACAGTATTTATAAAGTGCCGATAGTTCGCTCAGCGCTGTACATTACAAAGGGGGACAGAACATGTGATAGAACAATACCAATACAATGCAAAACATGAGGGGATTGAGGGCCCTGCTCTTTCGAGCTTACAATCTTGGAGGGAAGGGATGGTGGCACAGGAGGAGATAGCTGTCGGGGATGGAGTGGTAGGAAGAGTGGAGGAGGTCGTCAGGTTAGCAAGGGGGTTGGGGTAGGCTTCCCTGAAGAGATGGGTTTTCAGGGTGCGCCTAAAGGAGAGGAGAGTAGGTGATAATCTGATGGGTTGGGGCAGGGAGTTCCAGAGGATGGGTGACACTCTGGAGAAGTCCTGGAGACTGGCATAGGAGGAGGAGACCAGGGAACTAGAGAGAAGGAGGTCTTGTGAGGAGCGGAGTGTGCGTGGTAGGGCGGTACTTGGATATTAGGTCAGTGATGTAGTTGGGGCAGTATGGTGGACAGCTTTGTACATCAGTGTTAGGATTTTGAATTTGATCCGTTGCGCAATCGGAAGCCAGTGGAGGGATTGGCAGAGGGGGTGGCGGAGATGGAGCGGTTGGAAAGGTGAATGAGTCTGGCTGCCGTATTCAGGATCGACTTAATTATAAATGTAATTATAAAATGTAGCAAGGGACTACAAAAAAATGATTACAATTACAGTAGTCACTTTGTTGAGTATTGATACTCTATATAATACTTAGTTGCAAAGTTGCACATCATACGATAGCAGCATTTCATATTACTGTGGTTAGGTATAATGAACATTCCATTATTAGCATAGATTTCAGTCAGTGCTTCCTAGCAACATCCCATGGTTTTATATTAAGGTGAAAACAATGAAACAAAACAGATTACGGAAGACATCATCTAAAAGGGTGGAGGTCTTCACCACTCAATCCGAGTGCTCTTTACTGAAGCCAGACTGCTAAAAGCTGTGATTTGATTTTATATCCGTTGCAGTTTTCTTAAATATCCCCAAAAGTACCTGCCAGCTGGACTCTGTCTGATATATCTGGGGTTTTTTCTGATGTATCCAGAGTACATGCCAGTTATGACAGTAACCATTCAGTCATCTTTTCTTGTCTCTGAAACTTGGTATTTACCAGATATTAAATTAACAACTGAAACAGAAAAGATATGTAACCAATACATTTAGCTGTATACATACATTGTAAATTCATAAAAAATATATAATCTTTAATGCTCTTTTTTGGTGGGAACTTCTTTTCTCCAACATTACTTTTAATTGTGTATGAGCAGCTTTTTCCATAAATGAATCAGTTTTCTATTTTCTCCATTAGCTATGATTTTGCAAGTGTGCAATGTTCTTTCTTTCCATTTGGTCATCTCGGAAAAGGCAAGCCCTCTGTTAACTCCCTCATATTACTTCCTGGAAAGTTGCTGTTTTCCTTAGACATTCTTAATTTAAATTAAAGGTGAAGTTCTGGAAGATATAAAAAAAACACCATTCAGTGCAGTTATTGATTTTGTATTAACATATATAGCTGGCAAAGATACCTGAATCTGTCTTGATATCACAAATCTGTAATCCTGTGCACAGCTGCACTTAGACTAGGAGAGGGAGTAGCAACACTAGGAGCCAGTGCCGACAGGAGGAGGAGAGAGCAGAATGATGATCTCATCAGTGTCCTGCTGCTGCATGTTCAGATACACTTTTGGTACAGGCCTAGACCAGGATGTATTACTCAACCTAGATTGTCAGCTCCAAGAAGCAGGGCCCTCGAACCCCTCGTGTATTGTATTGTATTGTTACTGTACTGTCTTGTGTACTGTCTCCCATTATAATGTACAGCGCTGAGCAAACCGTTGGCGCTATATAATTACTGTATAATAATAATAATAACTGCAGCATAGATCTCACAGAATTTAGGACATGGCTATGCAGAAGTGTGCCATAGCTCTATTTATTACTAAAGGTAGAGTTGAAGGCTGCCATGAGTATGGTTCCCCAGAGAAATTAATGAAAAGAAAGTTATTTAAAGCTTAAAATAGTGTTCAACAAGAACAGATTTTACCCTGTATTATAACCTTTACTCAAGAGTTGTTTTTAACAACTGAGTGCAACCTGCCATGTAAAATACCTCCCTTCCTGTTCCAGGAATAATCGCTGTGTAGCTGTGGATGGTGCTGCACAGCCTCTGCTTAGAAAATGTCTCCGTTGGGTGCTCACAAGGGCTGTGCAGTGCCCAGTTTGGCCACACAGACAATATCACTGGATTTGGGAAGAAAGCAAATATTTTACATGGCAAGCTGCACTGGTAGAAAGAAGGGGTGTGAACAGAAATGTAATACTTGCTTTTCCTACCATTAGTGGGTCAGCAGCTTTTGTCAAGCTGTGCAAACTCCTCAGATCTTTGCATCATAACCCCCTTTCTGACCATATTATCTCTTAAAGGATAAATTAAATTTTCATAACATGTTACACCCATATCCACCAGCCCCCTCAAATACACAGTATTCTTTGAATGAGAAAACTACAAGCCCCTGGTAGCGTTTGCTGCTGTCGGCTGGTAGTTCTCAATGAACTGCCGGAGCACTGTGGAGCAGGGGTGGACTGACAACTCATGTTGCCCCCGGGCAATAGGGGATCATGGGGCCTCTGTGTCCTTCCCCAAACTCAAAACAGCCTATGAAAAAGGTACCAGGGGCATCTCATGGGGCCCCCTACTGACCCCGGGCCCTCGGGCAGTGCCCGAGTTTCCAAATGGTCAGTCCGCCCATGCTGTGGAGTGCTATGGTAGTTCATCTAGTCTTCCTGTCAGTGAGTATCTGCTTGCCCGTACAATGTACAGACACACTGACTGGTCTGCAGGAGACTTACATGGCACCAGAGATCTGCTGATCGCTGGTGCAATGCTTTAGAAGCTCCAACTGCAAAAAAAAAGTGAATTTATTATTTTTTGTTAAAATGTGAACTTGTCTTTTAAACATCAGCAATTAAAAAGGAGAGCTTGACACAAGTGACATATTTATTATAGTATTTCTCATGCTGCTAGGGGAATGGAGGTCAGTCAAGGCTGAAAATAACATCAACAGAAGGTCTTTGGTGTTTATTTAACCGGTACTCCTTTATGGCTTTGTTTGTTTAAACTCTAATACATCACAGAGTAGTAGTTTAAGCTCATGTATTGTTTGAAAGTAACTTATAAAATGGGACTCTGTATTTAAAGAAGAGATAATAAGAGTGTGTTTTCTCGATTTTTTGCAGATGTTCATCAGTGGATATTCGTTAACAGCCGGAGCTGCAGAGAGACTTGTATTTGGTTATGATAGTTATGGAAATGTGTGTGGGAGACGGAAACTCTCCCATCCCTAATGCTCCTTTTTCTGGAAAAGATATGACTAACAGAAAGTACGTATTGAAATCTCCTCTTTTATTCTTGGGTTAACCTTCCTTGAGCCGGCATCCCTTATCTTATGTGAATATGGACAGAGGTCATCTCTGTTTACAGTGAAATCTGGCAAACTCTTAGTAAAGTTTGTATTAGGGTAAACCTAATTCAATGACTAATGCCTCAGAGGGGGTGCACACAAATATTGGAGAGGATTACTGTGTAGTAAGGGAGTGGTGACTAGGATTACCTCCTTGCATTTAGGGAAAAGTGTAAGAAGAGTATTGCTGTATTCATTAAAACTTAAGATTGATATTTTACATCTGTATATACTATGTCATAAACATTTTGTGAACTTGTGACTTCAATATCCTAATGGTGTAAAAAACAGAATTACATTTTTCTACGGTAAAAGTCTCATAGACCATGGGTTACACAATGTTGGTATTTGGAGGAAAGACCTATCTGCATTTCTTAGCAGCAACAAATTAGAATTATAGTTGGAGAATCAGTAGTTGTACCCCAGCACACACCGTGTTTTTCATACTTCGAATAAAGGAGGCCCATTAGTGTTAGAGCATTCACCTCTTGTTCATATTAAAAATGTGTAACGGGCCCTCTTTACCATATGTGTAGTTAGGTGAGCTCCCATCAACTATGATATGTCACAGTGGTCTGTGATTACAAGAGTATTAGCTAATTAAATCCACAAGTTCCCATGAGGATGCCTTATCTCTGGGATCCAAAGCAATCCTTACTGCAATTATTAAATATAATCATTATATCTATTTTAAGTACAGTCTTTATTCAGACTTATTTTTAAATATCCAAAAGAGAGAGAGGAAGCTTGACTGGTTTCCTCCTAGTATTCTATCAACTAATACTAATGTATTGTTAAAAGAGAGCAATCTGCTACACCACAATAACAATAGAAATTTAGGAGGAAACATTTCAGACACTTATTACAAGAGTCTGAGGTGTTTTATCTGTCTTTACAAAGGCAGTATCATTACAGCCTCATTTTAGAATAATCTAAAGATTAGGTCAGAATTCCCAACTCCCCAAATAATGTTACTTTCACGTCCATTGAGAGATACAGGAAGTCATCAGCCTTTGGGTTGTACTGCCACATATAAGAGGATTGGACATTGGCAAACAAAAAACTGTAAAGACTGTAGGCCAGCTCAGGCTAACCCTTTCCACTACAAGCATGCCTCAGTTTGTTTGCTTGTGTCCTAGGATGGATATCTTTTTTTTTCAACATCTGCTGTATAAAAGACTAACTTATGTTATCTAAGCACCCTGTTGCCTTCTTCAGTTTTTTCTTTTCAATGTAGATCCTTCTGTACATCAGATAAGACAGGATCAAACATCCTTTTTACACAATGCGCAGGTTCATACCTTTAGGTTGCACAGCGAGTATAACAAGCATGCTTTACTGCACATACAGACTGATTTTACTATTGTGAGTTTAGTGACACTTTAACATGAAACTGCCAGAATGCCCTCAGAGACAGAAAAGATTATATAGGAGGTTATATTAATGAAGCTGCTTCACCTTCCTGGGTATATTAAAAGAGCTTATCATTTTAATAGTTATTCTTTAAACAAAATCTCTAACATATGACCTACAGTCAGGTCCATAAATATTGGGACATGGAGACAATTCTAACATTTTTGGCTCTATACACCACCACAATGGATTTGAAATGAAATGAACAAAGATGTGCTTTAACTGCAGACTGTCAGCTTTAATTTGAAGGTATTTACATCCAAATCAGGTGAACGGTGTAGGAATTACAACAGTTTGCATATGTGCCTCCCACTTGTTAAGGGACCAAAAGTAATGGGACAATTGGCTTCTCAGCTGTTCCATGGCCAGGTGTGTGTCATTCCCTCATTATCCCAATTACAATGAGCAGATAAAAGGTCCAGAGTTCATTTCAAGTGTGCTATTTGCATTTGGAATCTGTTGCTGTCAACTCTCAAGATGAGATCCAAAGAGCTGTCACTATCAGTGAAGCAAGCCATCATTAGGCTGAAAAAAACAAAACAAACCCATCAGAGAAATAGCAAAAACATTAGGCGTGGTCAAAATAACTGTTTGGAACATTCTTAAAAAGAAGGAACGCATCGGTGAGCTCAGCAACACCAAAAGACCCGAAAGACCACGGAAAACAACTGTGGTGGATGACCAAAGAATTCTTTCCTTGGTGAAGAAAACACCCTTCACAACAGTTGGCCAGATCAAGAACACTCTCCAGGAGGTAGGTGTATGTGTGTCAAAGTCAACAATCAAGAGAAGACTTCACCAGAGTGAATACAGAGGGTTCACCACAAGATGTAAACCATTGGTGAGCCTCAAAAACAGGAAGGCCAGATTAGAGGTTGCCAAACGACATCTAAAAAAGCCTTCACAGTTCTGGAACAACATCCTATGGACAGATGAGACCAAGATCAACTTGTACCAGAGTGATGGGAAGAGAAGAGTATGGAGAAGGAAAGGAACTGCTCATGATCCTAAGCATACCACCTCATCAGTGAAGCATGGTGGTGGTAGTGTCATGGCGTGGGCATGTATGGCTGCCAATGGAACTGGTTCTCTTGTATTTATTGATGATGTGACTGCTGACAAAAGCAGCAGGATGAATTCTGAAGTGTTTCGGGCAATATTATCTGCTCATATTCAGCCAAATGCTTCAGAACTCATTGGACGCCGCTTCACAGTGCAAATGGACAATGACCCAAAGCATACTGCAAAAGCAGCCAAAGAGTTTTTTTAAGGGAAAGAAGTGGAATGTTATGCAATGGCCAAGTCAATCACCTGACCTGAATCCGATTGAGCATGCATTTCACTTGCTGAAGACAAAACTGAAGGGAAAATGCTCCAAGAACAAGCAGGAACTGAAGACAGTTGCAGTAGAGGCCTGGCAGAGCATCACCAGGGATGAAACCCAGCGTATGGTGATGTCTATGCGTTCCAGACTTCAGGCTGTAATTGACTGCAAAGGATTTGCAACCAAGTATTAAAAAGTGAAAGTTTGATTTATGATTATTATTCTGTCCCATTACTTTTGGTCCCTTAACAAGTGGGAGGCACATATGCAAACTGTTGTAATTTCTACACCGTTCACCTGATTTGGATGTATATACCCTCAAATTAAAGCTGACAGTCTGCAGTTAAAGCAAATCTTGTTCGTTTCATTTCAAATCCATTGTGGTGGTGTATAGAGCCAAAAATGTTAGAATTGTGTCCATGTCCCAATATTTATGGACCTGACTGTATGTCAATGGACAAATGCAGTGTAATTTTAATATAAGTTGGAGATACTCCCCAGAACATTCCGAATTTGTTAACAGGTGCATTCAACCTCCTTCTGACCCGCGTTTTACTTGCTTTATGCAGGCACTTGCAGAGAGCTCCGCTATTATATTTGACATGCAAAAGTATTGTGGTTGCAACAATGTTTCCATTTGTATCAATTTTGGATACAGATGTTTTTATTCGGATACAAATAGATACATTGTTGCAACCACAATACGTTTTCATGTCAAATATAATAGCGGACTGGAATTCTTCTTCCTCTTCTTCTTTTTCTTCCTCTTCCTCTTCTTCTTCCTCCTCCTCCTCCTTCCTCCTTCTTCCTTCTTCCTTCCTCTTCCTCTCTTCTTCTTCCTCCTTCTTCTTCTTCCTCTTCTTCTTCCTCTTCTTCTCCTCCTTCTTCCTCCTTCTTCCTCCTTCTTCTTCTCCTCCTCCTCCTCCTTCCTCTTCTTCTTCTTCCTCCTCCTCCTTCTTCTTCTTCTTCTTCCTCCTCCTCCTCTCTTCTTCTTCCTCTTCCTTCTTCTTCTTCTACTTCTTTCTCCTCCTCTTCTTCTTCTTCTTCCTCTTCTTCTTCCTCCTCCTTCTTTTTCTTCTACTTCTTCCTCCTCCTCTCTTCTTCTTCCTCTTCTTCTTCCTCCTCCTCCTTCTTCTTCCTCTTCCTCCTCCTCCTTCTTCTTCTTCTCTTCCTCTTCCTCCTCTCCTTCTTCCTCTTCTTCCTCCTCTTTCTTCCTCTTCTTCTTCCTCTTCCTCCTCCTCTCTTCTTCTTCCTCCTCTCTTCTTCTTCTTCTTCTATTTCCTCCTCTCTTCTTCTCTCTTCTTCTTCCTCCTCTCTTCTTCTTCTCCTTCCTCCTCTCTTCCTCTTCTTCTTCTTCCTCCTCTCTTCTTCTTCTTCTCCTTCCTCCTCTCTTCCTCTTCTTCTTCCTCCTCTTCTTCTTCCAGGTCACAGCTCATGTGCAGATTTTATTATCGGTAAAATGTTTGGCCGATTTGACCATCATTGCCGGGGAAATCGGCCTATTGGTTTTCAACTTTACAGATAAAAAAAGTTGTGGTGGGTAAGGTGGCCTGTGCACAGAAAA